AAAAATTTAATAACTGATTTTTTTGGCCCGACCCGGGATTTGAAGGAACTCATGATCTGCGGTCGCGTTTACGATAATTAAAAAACGAGTAAGTAATTGATAAGTATCGGCAAATTATGTATGGAGAGATTCAGCACATAACTAATATTGCAGTTTGGATCGGAAACCGTTCTTGAGATTTTATACTATCACCTCTCTTGGAACGCAAAGTTACCGATACTCAGACAGGCCGAAACCAGGTAGACAAGCAGGAAAAAAGACACTTTTCACAACCGGAAGATGCGCTAGCAGCGTTCGGGCTGTTTTGTTCGGGATGTTTGATTTGGCCTGGAAAGAATGTCTCTAAAATTGGTCCGGATGCATAAAACTTTGAATATAATGCTGGTACTGAGGGTTTTGAAAAGATAATAATATAAACTTTAACCACAGAATGTTTTTTTAGTCTCGCAAAACTTTCCGTGTGGTCCACGTATAAGGATGTAAAAGAAGCGAGAAGTGTATAAGGATCGAGCCAAGTAGAAAGCCGTAGTCTCTACCTACCCTCTCTGGATGACAGGCGTGATAATTCATGTTACGTTATGTTGGAAAATAAAAATATTTTAAAAATAAAACGCTTACACACTATCAAAATTATTTGCGAGAATACTTACGAGCTTCATAAGCTCTTATAGGCGTCGTATTAAATTATTCGAAGGAAGAAATGGAACGTTAAGAATGTCAACTTTAGAAAAACACTTTAAGAACTAACACTTTAATGTCTTTCTACGTGACATTGCAGAAAGACATTAAAAACCTCTTTCTTCGCGAGGGAAAAATGTGTTGTATGCATTTGTAACGACTTATGGCGACATTGTTGTAGTTTAAGATACGTCATATGCTGATGTATATCGTGGCTAAATCGTAGAATGAATCATAGTGTCATATTACAAAGTATCCGACCATTTCATTTTTGACAATACCATGATGTAGCTTGACAAAATCAATAGATAGATTGTTTAATGATACAAACAACTAAACACACGGCTATTTATTGATATTTTCAAACATTGTGTCATCATTTCGTAAAGTACTTTATTTTTTATTTTTCATTCACATTTGTTACAAAATATTGTACTTCGTATGTCCATATGAACATAGGTAGGACCTAGTTGAACTTTATTATAATATATGAAGCTGACATCTATGCAATAACCATGATTAACGAAATAAATGTACTCTCTTAGCAGCGCATTTATATATATATATATATATATAAGAGTGAAAAATCATAATCAGAAACACTTTACGAAATGATGACACAATGTTTGAAAATATCAATAAATAGCCGTGTGTTTAGTTGTTTGTATCATTAAACAATCTATTTATTGATTTAGTCAAGCTACATCATGGTATTGTCAAAAATTAAATGGTCGGATACTTTGTAATATGACACTATGATTCATTCTACGATTTAGCCACGATATACATGAGCATATGACGTATCTTAAACTACAACAATGTCGCCATAAGTCGTTACAAATGCATACAACACATGTTTCCCTCGCGAAGAAAGAGGTTTTTAATGTCTTTCTACAATGTCACGTAGAAAGACATTAAAGTGTTAGTCCTTAAAGTGTTTTTCTAAAGTTGACATTCTTAACGTTCCATTTCTTCCTACGAATAATTTAATACGACGCCTATAAGAGCTTATGAAGCTCGTAAGTATTCTCGCAAATAATTTTGGTGGTGTGTAAGCGTTTTATTTTTAAAATATTTTTATTTTCCAACATAACGTAACATGAATTATCACGCCTGTTATCCAGAGAGGGTAGGTAGAGACTACGGCTTTCTACTTGGCTCGATCCTTATACACTTCTCGCTTCTTTTACATCCATATACGTGGACCACACGGAAAGTTTTGCGAGACTAAAAAAACATTCTGTGGTTAAAGTTTATATTATTATCTTTTCAAAAAAACTCAGCACCAGTATTTTATTCAAAGTTTTATGCATCCGGACCAATTTTAGAGACATTCTTTCCAGGCCAAATCAAACATCCCGAACAAAACAGCCCGAACGCTGCTAGCGCATCTTCCAGTTGTGAAAAGTGTCTTTTTTCCTGCTTGTCTACCTGGTTTCGGCCTGTCTGAGTATCGGTAACTTTGCGTTCCAAGAGAGGTGATAGTATAAAATCTCAAGAACGGTTTCCGATCCAAACTGCAATATTAGTTATGTGCTGAATCTCTCCATACATAATTTGCCGATACTTATCAATTACTTACTCGTTTTTTTTTTAATTATCGTAAACGTGACCGCAGATCATGAGTTCCTTCGAATCCCGGGTTGCGCCAAAAAAATCAGTTATTAAATTTTTCTGTCAAGAAATTCTCCTTAACTGCACCGGAGTCAGGAAGTCGTCGGTGTTTCACCCCCGTGCATTGGAAAGCACGTAAAGCTGTTGGTCCTGCGCCTGATCTCTCTCCGGTCGTGTCGGTTTACCGCCCCGTCGTACTATGAGAGTGAGGATATTATTATTATTATACTCATGAATTAAATGTGTCACCGCTAGCACGCTTCCTTCTGTAACAGCCGTGAAAGAACGACCACTTCATTCTTTATCTCTCTAAGTTAGTAGTGCGTACTAAAATTGGTTACACTAGCAGTACACAGCTGTCTTAGAATGGCCTTTATCCATTCCAGAATAGCATAAATGCCATTCATTCTATCAAACGATTCGCACGGTTTTAGGCAACATTTTCAATTGTATAAAATAATCACACGAAAATATTTCCAACGAAAATCTATTTCTGAATGAAACGCGATATTTTCATTTAGCTCGTAAAAATGTGGAGGAAAATTTGAAGTTGGAACATTTGTATTATTAATTATTATAAATCATATTTTCCATATAAAATATAGCTGGCCAGTAATTCATCCAAACATTAAGTAAGATTGTTGAAGTAAATATGTTGTGTTTCTTCTGCCTATTAAATTACGGTAAATTTAGTTTTTGCGGCACTGTTTGACTTATCTATAATTTGTCTCTTACGACATCCACGGAATTCTTTTACGTCGTCACCACACTATGTGTTAATACCGTAGATTGAGTATAACCTGACGGTATATACAGTAGATAAATACGAGGAATTTTTAGTAGATGGTAGGACTGCTTTTCTGCCTAGGTTCGGTCTGGGCAGATACAAATCAACTACTTACCTATTTCTGCCACCAAACAGCAGTGCTTGTTTTGCTGTGTTCCGGTCGAAACGGTAAATAGAGCCAGTGTGATCATTGGCTTAGGGGTATTCCATTTTAATCCTCAGAGGTGACAAAGTATGTATAACCTACTTTGTTTGAAGTTGACTACAGGTGTCATGGACTACAGCGATCATTTACCATCAGGTGGACTGTTCAGGTGAAGTTCGATTTTCACTAGGTTTATAAAAAAATGTGAAAATGCGTGAAGGTTACTTGTTACTATGTTACTTTTTTCTATCATGTAAAAAACTTATTTTTGCATTGTTCAAATAAAGTTAAACGCGAAACGAAGACAATATAAAACGCATGAACAAAAGGAAATATTACACCAGCGATATACAAAAGACATTGAACGTCGTCGTTTACATAAATTTAATCTCACAGCTGCGGAACAAAACATCGTCTCTACTGCGTATTGAATATAAGATTTAATATTATGTTAAACAATGATTTATATCGCTCAATAAATATTGAGCTACGGAACAAGTTACGCTCATATTATTTTGTTTATTTTATTCATTACTTAAAAATAGAGTTAATTAATACTTTTTGTTGTATTTTCCTTATTTCACATTTTGTTAAAATCACCCGTTTCCTATGTATAGGTATAGGTGCTCTGGTAAGACATGCAGGAAGTTGATGGATGCAGGTGGCTCAGGACCATGCCTTATGGCATTCTTTGGGGAAAGCCTATGTTCAGCAGTTTACTTGTGAAGAGCTGTATTGATGATGATGATGATAGGTATTCAGACCAACAAAGAAAGATAGACGGAGCGTTGCGTATGTTGTAAGTAACACTCTAACCATTCTCGACTTTCTTGAGTCGCACACACGTACACATATACAACAGACATAAAAGTCCATTGCTGAACGCACTTATATATATCTAAAACCATATCGCTGGTTGTAAGTTATTTTAAATGCATATGTGTGCGTGAGTGCGTGTTTTTGCAATAAGTTGTATACATCAGCGATGGAGACACACGCAAGTGTGAATAACTACCCAAGAGCAAGTATTAACCACCACTATTCCGGTTGTATCATGAGCGAGATTAGAGTGACTTTTTCTTCATTTCTAAATCTCTAAAGGTGAAAAAATAGGGCTTTGATAAATCATTTAATATTAAAGTTTCCACATTTGTACATTTAAATTTTGCAAATATTAGGAGTGAACAGGCTCTTCTGCTTCAAATTTTTTACCAAGAAAATAGAGCGGAAGCTACAAATTGTGTACTTCTGAAAATCTCTACATCAGCGAATGATATTGAAAAGGAATCCGTAAGGATGAGGCTGCGACAGTTCCTGTTTAGGGGTAAACCGATGCGAGTAAGTTACTTAGTTTACTCAGCCGTTATATTAGTTTTACTCTGAATAAATTGGAAACTGAGAGAACGCATATTTTTCCGTAGTTTGTTATCGATTTTCTTATAATGGATTATTGCAAAAAAATTAATGAAATTAAATAACTGTTAAATACATTTTGCTGGCCGCATAAGGAACCTCAAGACCGCGCAACGAACTATGGAGAGCGCTATAATTGGAGTTTCTCTGCGTGATAGACTTAGAAATAAGGATGTCATCATTTCGTAAAGTACTTTATTTTTTATTTTTCATTCACATTTGTTACAAAATATTGTACTTCGTATGTCCATATGAACATAGGTAGGACCTAGTTGAACTTTATTATAATATATGAAGCTGACATCTATGCAATAACTATGATTAACGAAATAAATGTTTCTGATTATGATTTTTCACTCTTAGCAGCGCATTTATATATATATATATATATATATATATATTACGTGTCACATTGTTTATCCGCGCAACTGCACACTGTGTGCAGTGTTTGGTCTAACTTGAGAGATAGGATAGTTTTTGTCCCTATAAGTGACCCTCAATTACAGCTCAACAAAAGTGCATTGCTGAATACAGGCCTCCCCATCGTGAAGTGGTAAAATATTCTTACCACACTACTACACGATAAATTAGAATTTATTAAATTATATGGAAATTATTTAATTCCTCTTTTCCGAATGCAGAGGGATTAATTTTTTTTAAATTTTTTAAGTTTAATTTATTGACCCTTTTTAGTTGACTAAACAATAACACAAGCTCAGAGTGCCAAGTAAAACGCCATCTACATAGTTACATTAAAAATCATGCCTTTTTACCCTTAGTTTTTGAGTGTAAAATGTTTCTTTAAATTTAAATGGGAACCTTCGAGGTTCAAAGCTGGCGAAGATATCGCGTACAAAATTACAGACGAATTCGTTTTTAAAATCAGTTGAAACGTGACGATGAAGATGCTTTATAATATTAGCTAAGTCTTCCCTGCTCCAAAATAAATTGAACTTAGAAATATGACGAGTCAAGTACCAAGTAAAGAAACAGACAGTTACTTACCTTACCGCATCTTCATTATTCTACTATATAACTTACTTTCTCTTTAATCTTGACAGTACAATGCCGTCTGCACGGGAAACGAGAATTCCGTTGCGATTTGGAAACGAGGCGGACAGAAAGGGTGCTGCAGTCGTATTTAACGGCTATTTATCAACACGAATCGTCGGATAAGGGGTGAATACAAATCGGCTTCGTTGTTATAACCCAATTCATTAACATAAGTCACCGCAATCTTTATTGTAAAAATCTTGGTTTTATAAATGTTTAAGCATCTCTATCCATACATAGTATAAAACAAAGTCGCATCAAATCATATCTTGGAAACTATCCTAGACTTTATTTTAGAACATAAGTATTAGACTGTCAGTCATATTTTCCAATAAAAAACTTTTTATACAATGTTACTAAAATTTCAAAACCTTCCTGCTGTAAGCAGCCTTGAGTTTGTTTTCAAAAAGTTTGTTGCGGTAACCTAGGAAGCGAAAAATACTTGTTAAAAATTAAAAAGGGCATTTTTTTGCTATTACAAATAAATATTTTTTGTTGTACTTGTTTTCAGCTAATTTGCATGAATACAATTAGTTACTGACCTAGCCTAATTTTAGTATAATTTAGTTCATCCTAAGTGCCGCAGAGTGAACCAAATGTTGTGGTGGCCTTTAGGCTGGACCTGAACCTACTGTCGCTAATACTACTTTTCCCAACAAAATGGCTTACAAGAAACTAGTTTATCCAAGAAAAAACTGTTTGTCCCAAACCAATTGACGGCTCCGTGGCACAGTGTCTTAGCAATGATTTGTTGCGCCGGAGGCCGCGGGTTCGAATCCCACACGGAACAAGTATTTGTATGGCCTACAAATAATTGTTCCGGGTCTAGATGTTTGTCCTCGTGTAATTTATGTTTGTAAACTACTTCCACGACACAGGAGAAAATACTAGTGTGGGGGTAACATTTGAAAAAAACTTCTGTAAAATATTAAACACTTTTCTTACTAAATCTCCTGGCTAAAAATAATTTTAATTACCAGCTTGGTCGAAATCCCTTTAAACTAACATTTTTCAATCAAAACTACTTTTGCCCAAAGTTCTTTAGTCAAAATTAATTTTGACTGTTTTCCTCCAGTCAATTTTGGTAGTTTTGACCGAGAAATAGTTTTAAATGTAACATATTGTATATTTTAGATATTTGAGATAGTTAACACGGCGCCGATTAGTTAACAGGGCGAGCCTGTTAACTAAAAAGCTAATTAAGCTAAGAGACTAAGCGATAATTAATTGTTCCATAAATTTGCAAAACAAAGCTAACCAAAATTGCACGAGCATTGAACAAATATGTTTGAAATTAAATCACATTCTACAAAGTTAAGATTAGCATATTGTTGGTTAATTGCCCAATAAATACAAAATATGTTTTAAATTATTTTCTTTTTAGCTTTTCTCCTAGATAGTCGGACACCTATCCTGTCTAGAGTTCCTTTTGGGTAAGTAATACGCGCTAACATATATCTGCCGCCAAATAGCAGTGCCTGCGCTGCTGTATTCCGGTCTGCAGGCTAGAGTGCCAGTATGATGACAGGCTGTGAGGCATTCTACTTACTGCTTAGAGATGACAACGCATCTGTAGCCTTCCTTGTTTGAAGTTAGCTGCAGGTGTCCATTAACTGCAGCAGCCGCTTTCAATCGGATAGATTGTAAGTTCGTACATTACTTCAATTTCATAAAAAAAAATTATTAATAAAACGATGATGTCGCGATGTTTTAGGGGTCTACGCCCCAGACATGTCTAAGCCCACTTATATCCAAGAGCAGTTTTGGGAGTTGGTAAGGATGGTGCTAATGAACAGCAGGGCTAATGAAAATATTGTGATATTAGGCGATATTAATGGAAGGGTTGGGGTGAGGAGGCTTGGTTATGAAAGGATATTGGGAAAGTTTGGTGATAAAAGTATAAATAAGAATGGTGAAAGTCTCCTCACCGTATGTGTGGAAAATAATTTTTTTGTGACGAATACTTTCTTTCGTCATATGAAGATTCACACGTATACATGGGAAAGAAGTGATGATAGAAGTATGATAGATTTCATAATTGTTGATGAAAGAATGAGGAGCGCGGTGGTAGATACAAGGGTTTACCGGGGCTCTAACGTAGGGATGGACCATTACTTGGTCTTATGCCGAATTAATGGTCTTTTCAGACGTTGGTGGCATCTGAAATCTGTGTCTACTACTGCGTTACAGCGTATAAGAACAGAGAGGTTACAAGATGAAGGTGTGAAAGAGAAGTTCAAATGTAGATTGAGAGAAAATATAAGTGGTATGGCTGAATTGTGTATGAATGATTTAGATTTGGAGACTGTGTGGTATAATGTCAAGAAAGGTTTAGTGGATGCAGCTACCGAAGTATGTGGTGTAAGTAAGAGAACGAGTGAAAGGAAAAATAACACGTTATAGTGGGATGATGAGGTACAGATGGAAGTTGAAGCAAAGAAGAAAGCATGGCTAGATTTACTAGCAACCAAGGCTAGTAATTCTAGCAGTATGAATGATGATATTGAAAGGAAAAAGGCAGTTTTTAGACATCTAAATAAGAGAGAAAAAGAAGTAGTTGAAAGGAAAAAGCAAGAAAGAACGGATAAAAATGATAGAAGAATATCGGATAACTTCCAGGCAAACATTGAAATGTTCTGGAAACTCGTAAGAACAGCCACTGACATTCTTTTGAACTGACATTCAAAACAGCCTAGAATGAATGCCATACGAGGCCAGAATGGCTGTATTCTGAATGACGCAGTTTTGAGTTTAAGGAGATGGAAGGAATACTTTGAAAGCGTGTCTATGAGTGATGAGACGTTTGAATTAAATGAAATAGAAATTCCGAAAGAAGAGGAAATAGATAGAGATATACGTATAGATGAAATAATGAAAGCAATGGAAAGTATGAAAGCAGGTAAGGCAGCCGGATATGATAAACTATCTCTGAAATGCTTAAGGCTGGAGAAGGAATGGTGGCAGACTTGCTGTACACCTTGTTTAATTTATGTTGGGAACTTAAGCGGGTAACAGAAGACTGGTGCAAAGCCGTGATGGTCCTAGTATATAAAGGAAAAGGATCACAGCAGAACTGTAAAAACTACCGTGGTATCAGCCTTCTTAGCATTGTGAGAAAACTGTATGCTAAGGTACTAATTGAAAGAGTTATGAAAGAAACTGGTGGTAGAATTTGGGATGTGCAAGCGGGATTTAGAAAGGGAATGGGATGTACGGATCAGGTCTTTTCCATGCGCATGGTCGCGGAGAAGTTTTTTGACAAAAACCAAAAAGTTTTTTGTGCGATAATGGACTTGGAGAAGGCTTATGACAGAATGGACAGGAATGTGTTATGGCAAACACTGAACACAACAAAGAAGAAAAAGAACCGGATAAACACCCTTTTTACTGGAAATAAGGCATTCCACCTTAGCACTCAGGGGTGACAACACATCTGCATTTTGATTCCTAATCGAGATTAGACTTAGATGTCTATAGGCCACAGCATCCACTGACCATCAAGCGAACTGCACGCTCGTTGGTCACTTATTCTATTAAGAAATACATACTCTTATATCTCGTGTTTCCATGGCCTCTTAGTAAGTCAACCCACCAACTCCTATTACTTTAAGTTTGGTCATGAGAGCTGGTGGGGTGACCACACGGAATGATAAAAGACTGTGGATTCACTTCCGCCGCCACTACACGGCGCCAAATCAAAATATCTTGTAAAGACTTAAATCTATACATCTATACACCATATGAACTATATTGAAGTGTATGTCTGTAATATTAAAATAATTGCATTTTATCGAGCTCAGGGCTCAGGGGTTTGGTTGCATTGACATGAATAACCATTTGTAAGAATTCTGTATCTCTGTTTGTCCGGACTAATCTTAGAAATAGCTGAGCCGATTGTCATGAAACTTCACAAACATCTGTCTCTATCTAGAGAACGATATCAGGAGGGATGTGGGCTACATTTTATCCGAAAAGCTTGACATATATTTTTGATAAATCGACAAATTGATAAAATAAATCGTATTTGATTATCTTAAATTTAAATAACGCCATATTAATAGATCGTTTCCTCGTAAAGCCGGGGTAGTTCGGTTGTAATTAATAATAACACAATAATCTATTTTATATCTTCGGTTTTATGATTCAAGCTATAATTTTAGACCTCAATGGAAATATCTCAATTTCACGAACACTTAGGTGGACGATCTTCCCGTTTTACAAATGACGTCCATAATTCAAGGCGAGTCTTCGTCGTCGTTTGGCCGACGCAGCATTAATCTTGCTCGCCTGAAATATATTTTCAACAACCCTATATTTGGGCTAGTGATAGCGTGGTCAGAATACCTGGTAACAGTTTTTAACCGACTTCAAAAAAGGAGGAGTTATTTAATTCGACTGGTTTTTTATGTGTGTTACCTTAGATTTTTTTCCAAGTGAACTGATTTTGCGCGGGCCGGACCACCGCGCATTCCGCCGGCAGCTAGCTCAGGAACAACACGCGCGC